GCAACAGGCAGACCGCGGTCCGAAAGGTTGAACTGCGGACCTAACTGCGGAATATCGATTGCTGAGTCAATCAAGCTCAAAATAAAACTGCTGTTAATTTTCAAAAAGTAAGGATGAATAAACATAATAACATTATGTATAAGTGATGAAATATTGTTTTATAATAATATTGTGTGTTTACAATATATATAAATCTGGGGAATTCTGTTCAAAATCTGGCAACTTTTAAAACACAATTTGGGGAAATAAAATTTATGGACCTGGCAACGCTGCTGCCCACTGACGGCACTGACCGACAGACCCGACAGTCGTTCACTAGTTGGTCAGTAACATAGATAAATAATATAGTATATACAGAACACGCACGATGCACGTAGCGCACTACCGTTAATTTGTTTCGTGATTACTCGCGTTTTCGTTCGCTTTTTAAAACATCTTTTTGTACCTACGTTAAGCCTACTTAGTGGTTCCGGTGTGCCTTATATGCAATAAAACTGTCTCCTTAATTAAAAGTGGAAAAGCGACAGTACGAAACAACTCACCAGCAGTTCCACAAAAACTTTCCTCTTGGCAGTCAGGTGCGTAAAGAAAAACTTCGGGTATGTCTTAGTTCTTACGAAAAAAGTACAAAAATCCTAGTTCGTTGTATGAGCGACCAAGAAAAATCCACAGAGGAAGCGTTACGTGTGTGCTGAATACTTAATAAACGCCAAAAACCATTTCTGAGAAAGTGAAGGAATGTATGCTGGCAATAGCTAACTCACTTTTTGAAGAAAAAAAAATGTTGGCTCAGCAATTCAAACCATCTCAATGTCAGCATGAAGTAATACACGAAGAACGGAAATTTTAGCTGCGGATAATAAAAACTCTCTTCTTAATCTTTTGCAAAAGGCACCTTGCTACGCCACAGCACTTGACGAATCATTTGACATTCTTGATGATGAACAAATGTCTGTTTTTGTAAGATTTTTTGATATTGAGTGTCAGATTTGTAGGGAAGAGTTACTAGCAATATTGCCGCTGAATGGTAACACTCGAGGAGAAGATTTATTCAAGGTTATTGATGAATTAATTTCCAAATCCAATATCAGTTATGATAAAATGATTTCGATTTCTACTGATGGGGTCCCAGCAATGATTGGCAAAGAAAAAGGTATAGTAACTCTTTGTGGAAAACTTAATGCTAGACTTAAAGAAGTCATGGACAGTTTAGTGAAGTTAATTAATTTTATGAGATCTCATTCTGCTCTTCAGCACTGATATTTCAAGGAGTTTCTTTCTGAATATGATTCAGCATATTCTGACTTACTACAACACAATAATGCTAGTTGGTTAAGTAAAGTTCAAGTTATTGAACATTTCTGGCTAATAAAAGAACATATGATCTCCTTCTTACAAAATATAGATATGCAGGGAGCCAGGGCACATTTTGAGTATATAACAAACAGGTGCAACATGCTGGTTGTGGCTTTTCTAAAAGATATATTAAAATATTTGAATGCGCTTAACACAGAGTTACAAGGAAATAGAAAATTAGTATGTGATATTATACAAAGCGTGTCTGCTTTTCATTTGGATATCTTTGAAAATATATTGCATAACAAGTATTCATTAAATTTCCAACAATTCTTGAATATAATAAAAATAAGGAGTACTCCGAAAAAGACATCGCAGTGTTCTTAAAATTTCTGGGCGATCTTAGGAACGAATTTGCTTTAAGATTCCAAGACTTGGCACAGGTAAGCAAACTATTTTCACTTCTAAAACCACCATTTGAAGTTGATGCAGCGGCAGAATGGACAGATGTGGCTGCTAAGTGTTAATCTGTCAAAAGCATTACTTCAAATGGAGATTATTGAATTACAAGAAGATTTGTCCTTGCACATTTATAAATTGGTATCTGGCGAATTTTGGGCGAATAATTTTGGGTCAAACATGTGCAAGCAAAATATGAAAATTGCAGATAACTTGCAATCAATTTGGCCACTATGTTTGGCTCAACATATATGTGCGAAACGTCTTTCTCAAAAATGAATTTTTTGAAAAACAAATATCGCTCCCGATTAACTGACGCCCACCTCGAAGATACACTTCGGATTTGTTGTTTGACTCTAGAACCAGACTTCAAGAATGTTGGCGCAATTTTTCGCATTAATTTAAGGTCTTTTGTTTTATCATTAAGAATGTACCAAAATAATACACATCTTGTCATTAAATGTTATCATTTGATTTTTTTCTGGACCTTATTCAAATTTTCTTCTAGTATCTGGCCAGACCCACATAAAATTACTTGCTGACCCCTGACCTAGATTAATCAATGATATGGAACTCTCAAGTGTGGACCCCTTCATATACCTAAGATGGCTAAGATGGTTATTGACTAAAGATAACGATGTCATCAAAGAAATGAAAGGAAGATTGGTGGTGGTTACTACAACCAGATCACTTACACAAATAGAACAGAATTTTTTTTTCTTTTAAATTTGTTAGGTTGAGTAAATCTGGAGTCTGGAGTAGTCCTTTTAAGGGCTTTTACATTATTTTTGTGCTGTATGTAACTAAATATATGGAGAAACAGAAAAGTGGAAAACATAATTTTGGAATAAGTCAAAAACAATGTGGTAACTAAACTGTTAGACTTAGATTCTCTAAATTCTAATGATAGAAACTGTATTTTAATGTGCAAAATATTAAGAGGCAATAAAAATGTGTTAGAAGTAGTAAGGTATTCATTTAACTGTATGTACCTATAAAAGTCTTCATAGTATCTCCCTTTGTAATCCTTTTGCAAACATTCCCTCATATGGTAAGGAAATTCTTCTAAATTATTCGCTTTATAAAAAGTCCTTGAAAAAAGAACAATAGTCACGTCATGGTTGCTGCCATTTTTCTTCCATTTCATAAACAGATCTGCTAAAAATCCATTAACAGCTTTTTCAAAATATAGGTCTCCGTGTATATCAAAGTCCCACATTTCAGAAGACATTTGCAAAAATAAATATACCATTGAAGTTGATGATCTAAACACTATTTTCGTATCATCTGTTATTACCCCACAAGCTACTCTATCCCCTTGAGCCCACATCTCATATACTTGGCATCTAACTGCTCCACCACAAAATTCTAGTTTTTTGTTCATATACACACATGTATTAACCTACAAGAAAAATAAGTTGTACATTAGAATAAAGAGTAACAATAACAAAGAATTATAGTTAACACATATTTACATATTTGCAAACCTTTGTTGCATGAATTTTTTTTCAAATTTGGTTTTAAAGAACTATTGCACATTAGTATTTTTCAACTGCATATATATTATAATTAGAAAATAAATAACTTTTTCTATAAATCTCTAGCAAAAACTAGTGTGAAAACTTTAAACTTACCAAACTATTTTTAAGTCTCCACATTTCAGATCTTCCCATATACTGATCCTTGAAAGTAAGTTCTATAGAATCCAATGCAACATCTGCAGGATTCACAATCCTAATGGTCACATTTTTATATGTCTGTAAGCCAAAAGCAGTAACAATACTTTGTTCAATGCTTATAATTTCTCTAGCTTGTAAAAGATCATCAGAAAATGTTTTAATTTGTAACAGCAGCCTTGGATACTCTTCTTCAGATTCACTCTTTTTATTTTTTTGATTGTCATCTTCTGGTACTGAGTGATATATTTCAACAATATCATTCTTTTTAGCTTCTGGGTAATCTTTCTGGTTTATAATAAGATCTTCCTCTGCAAAAATGAACAAGATACTGGATAAGCTGATAATTATTTCAACAATTATCTTTACAAATATTATTCATTTGATTTAAGAGCAGTATAAAATATATTATTAAAATTTGTTTTATTCATTTTTCTTACCACTAAAAGTTTTTTGATGAGCTTTTAACTTAAAGGATTTCATTTCAGTATATGGTGTCATTGTTCATCTTCTCATTTTACTGATATGGTGACAATAAATGATTGTTGACTAAAATTAAAGACTTATAATAGATATTAACAAATATTGGACCAATACCATTTATAAACCTTATCGTGTTACAGTTTATTTAACATTTTATCAAACAAAAATATCTTGCTTTCTATAAAGTAATGAGGTTATTAATCTGTCAGTCAACAGCTGGAAACGTCATATTGACAATGTGTTTTAATTAGTGGTCTGTGGTGTTGACAATGTACTTGAACCTGCCATGAACTTAGCAACCTTTTTTGGAATTCAGTTGACAGTTCATATACAGGGAGTCATTTATAATTTATAGATAATAGATGAACCGAAATAATCGAAAACACCAAAGATCAGAAAATATTACACGTCATTAAAAAATTTGGTAATAAAATAAATATTTGTTAATAAAAAGAAATGAGTCCAATCGATTAAGAATAGGTATAATACTATAACATATAATATAAGAAAATTAATACTAAGATGAAAACTACAAATATGGAAAGCTTATTGTAGAGATAATTTTTAAAAATAAAAAAACATGTAAGAGTGAGTAGTGAAGAAACAGGGAACAGCAAAAAAAATTGATATTTCAAATTTTATAAAAAGTATGTGTACAGAATCATAAATAATTTTCTATCAAGAAAAGCATATATTCGAAAAAAAAAAGAACGAAATAATGTAATAGATTATAAATTCGTCGTTGCCAAAAAAGAATAGGCAACTAATGAGGACAATGAAAAGAACAAGAAAAGGAATGGACAGGTACAACAATGAACGGTATAATAATTGTAGAAGTTAAAAATAATTATAAAAATTAATTCAATACGAAAAAGATAAATTTCAAAAGCGTATCAGTACATCATACCATGACGCTAAATGTATACTCATTTTGTCCGAAGAATAAATCTTACTGAATATTTTTTCAAGTGTGCTGAAAGTTACTCGCGTGTTCGTCGGTACAGAAATATTTTATTTAAAAGAAGAAGATTAAAGTCATGGTCAACACTGTCAACAGGATCAACATAAAACATAACCACACATATCATTTTTTTTAGGTATTTAAAAACACTGTCTTTACTTCTGTAAATAAATAATGTTATTTTTAAAGTCGTACCAAAATGTGAACTGTTGTAAATGTTATTGGTTGCAAAAACTAGAAATTTCGAAAAAATATTTATCGACAAATACGTATTTATATTTTCCAGTTGAAAACAAATTGGTAAATAATAAGGAAACTGAAAAATCCTCAAACAAAGATAAACTTTTATTTAACAGCGTTTTAAACGCAAAGCAAAATAAATTAGGATTCTTTAAGGCTCGTCGGCAGTACATACAGCAGCTAGAATTAAAATCCAAGATACAACCTTTACCATTATCACTAAAATTTTTGTCTGAGGATTTGTTGACAGAGAAAGACACATTAAAAGTTGAAGAACAACAAATAAACGAGAGTAATAAAAATGTACAGTTTCCTTATAGTAGTTTTAGTACTCCTGTAAGTGAATTTAAAGGTGAAAATAAAGATTTAGAGTTTCCACAGGATTCTCCTGAAACTATAGATAAAGAAGTAAGAGCTAAAAATAACGATTTACGGACGTGGATGAATGCTTATGATAATTTAGAACGTGATATTGTTGAGGATAGTGAAAATGGAACTATTAATTATGGTACACCTGATCCTAAGAGTATAATTAGTGATGTACCATGTGGAGGATGTGGTGCATTGCTTCATTGTAAAGTAAGAAAATCTTATAGATAATATATGATATATTAGAAATTAAATATGTTCTTATTATCACAAGTGTTTTGTATAGACAATCATTAACTTTCATTTGTTTAAAAAAAGAATAATGTAATATCGCTGCTCTAGAAGAACAATGACGTAACTGACAAAATGATAATTGTTCAGGAAACGAAAAAAACCGAAAGTTATTTTTTAAAAATGCCATAATTCAAAAGTTAATTTCTCTATTGAATTGGGACTGGGGCAAATTGTTACAATAAGGTTTACACCAAAGTTCAAAACATTTTTTTTGTTAAAATTCACCCCGTGCCTCCACCATCACCCCCCCTTTAGCAAATGCGTCATTGTTCTCCTAAAATTATGAGTCAAATAACAAATTCTGACAAAAAGGAAAGGGAAAAAAGTAGTTCTTGATAACAATTTGATTGCTGTCTAGGTGCCGTTTCACATGTAGCCGACGCCGATGGTCAGCGCTGACCGTCAGTGATGATGAATAAATGCATTGCATTGCACAGCTGATCATACGCAAGGTATGTGAAATGGTTAGTTTGCGCTAATGCATTTAATTTATCATCACTGACGGTCAGCGCTGACCGTCGGCTACATGTGAAACGGCACTAAGACTATCATTTATTTCAGAAACTTGAACAAACAGTGTAAAGTAAGCAAATCTAGATTGTAGATTAAATTATACCAAACTAAACATAGTAACTGAAAAATACAATCATTAGTAGGTAACAATAAACAAAAAATGTAACAGGGTTTTCTAATTATTTAAAGGATCATAGAAACTTTTATAATAGCTGGGAATTATGTTGCTGTTTACCAAACTATTTAAATCTCAAACTTTATTTTCTGAGAGTAGTATTTTTTTAGTATACGCAGGTTTCAAAGCGATATTAGTTGCTTTTATATTCTCTGCTGAACGTCTTTTCTTTCCTGTAAACTGAACTTGACTCCATTCTAATTGTTTATAGCTATTCTTGTAGTAAAACGTATTACTTCCTTTTTCAAATTGAAGTATTTTAACCTCACTCAATTTGAAGATATTTCTGTCTACATCTTTTGCCATGTCAGGTGCCATCTCATCATGCAACGCCTTAATGTTCTTAAAATCTGCAAAACCCATTTCTGTGACAAGCAGAGGTTCTCTTTTCTTTTTCGCTTGTCGGATAATGGTTACATATTGGTCAGGTACATAAATCGGCCCAGACCTCTTAACACTCTTTAATGACTTTTCTATGATGCTATAAATTGCATCACCTTCATTTTGCGTGTGACCACGAATTAAGTACTTGTGTGAAATATACTGAATGTTAAGCTGCTGAACCGCATACAAATACATCGCTATCACGAATCTACAACAGAAACAATAAAAAAAATTATTAAATTCTTCGGCAATTTTTTTTGTGCTTCAAACCTGTTTTTCTGTTGTTCCCCGTAATTATCAGAATAGAATACAACTTTGGCCCCAGATATGTTATTTGACAACTCTTCAAGGTAGAGTAGCACGCAAGTTGATATTTCATTCACACCTCTGTGCGCATACTTCTAAAAAAACGTAAAATATGGTCCAATGTTTTAAGATAGGCGCTAAAATTCACTAGAGAGGAGCCTTAATAGTATCCCTGCTATCGACTAATTCATAGATGGTCAGATAATGACATATTTTGCTGACTGCTGCTGATTTTCTCTTTTCTGGGATTTTAACCACTGAAAATTATGTCAGTGTTTAGTCAATATTTGATTAAAATTAATCAGATGTTTAAATCACCTCTCAAAATTAATGACGTTTAATCTGGACCTCCCTGTAAATGTTAATGTATAGTACAAGTCCGGTCGCTAAATTTTCATTTTTTAAACTGAACACTGACATAATTTTCAGTGGTTAAAATCCCAGAAAAGAGAAAATCATTCAGCAAAATCTGTCATCTGACAGTCTATCAGTTTGACAATGACGTTAACAACAGTGATGAAGTAAATAAAGCTTATTAACAGGTTCAATAACGACGAAAAGTACAATTAGGTCACAAAATTGAAATAAGACCCTCAATAAACAATGACACAAAGTACACTGACGTCGTTGTTGCACTGGAATCTTGATCGAAGTGGTTCAAATTGCTCCAAATCTTCCAATTGCGTCGTTGTTCCACTGGACACTAACACAGACTCACTAACGTCAAGGACTGAACTGAATCATGTGGCACTGTTCTCCCGAAACTACGCCACAAACATCCAATATTTTTACAACGACGTAACTTCCTCTAGCGGCCATAAGAGCAACTACATTTGCGTCGTTGTTCTCCCATGTGTGTTACATATTTTTGAGAACAGGGACGTATTTAACTGCAATTACCATATTTTTGCAGTTACGTCATTGTTCTTCTGGAACGGCGATATGTACTATAATTTCCATATAGGCTCTTTTTAATAATAATAAACCTTGGGATAGGGGAGAATAGGTAGTTATCCCTATGCTTATTTACTTGGATAAGTTAATAAACAGAGTTCCTTCCAGTATTTACCTAAAACTTGAAATTTGATTTAAACAATTCAATTAGGTCTACCCTAGCTGTACTATTCTATAAATAACTTTTATGAATTCTGTTTTAGGACACAGCTATTCCTGGTTATATCCCTTCAGAAATTTTTAAGAATGCTCATAAACCAGGAGCAGCTGTTTTGGAAGCTATTATATGCCAAAGATGCTTTTTCCTCAAAGAACATAACATAGCACTTCAAGTGAGAGTTTCTGCAGATGACTATCCAAAAGTACTGATGTCATTGGCAGATAAAATGTGTTTGGTGATCCTGATGGTAGATCTTACAGATTTTCCTTGTTCTATATGGCCAGGAATTGCTGATATTTTTGGACCAACAACCCCAATTTTTGTAGTAGGAAACAAAATAGATTTGATACCAAAAGATGATGTCAAATTCATACCAAATATTAAACAGAAAGTCATAGATTATATGAAATTGAATGGATTTGGTACTTCCAAAATACTAGATGTTGCTCTCATATCTGCCAAAACTGGATACGGGATAGAAGATTTAATAACATCTCTGCATTCTTTATGGAAAGTGAAAGGTGTGGTTTTAGTTATTCAAGATATTTTTTCCTATTGGCAATTTTATCTGATAAAATAATTTGTATTACTTGGAGTATTAGAAAAAACTTATAACTATTAATAGAAAAATGAATTTAATCACAAATTGATGAATCAGAATTGGTGAAGCAAAATGCCCAATCCAAAGATTGTACATTTTGCTTCACATTTTCATGTTTCATAACTTGTTGTACAGGGAATCTAAAAAAGATCTTAATAACGAATGAGATAAAGCATGAAAAAAAGGTTAAAAATTTACACCTACAAAAACTGCTGTAGAATAGAAATTTGAATGAAAATATGAAATTGTAAAGAGAATATTAAACACAGCAATTTTGTTGATTAATATAAAGCTTCACAGTAGTCTACATTACTGCCTACTTAACCCTTTTTATTATATTTAATTTCTAGGAGATGTCTATTTAGTAGGATGTACAAATGTTGGCAAATCTAGTTTATTTAATGCCCTTCTCGGATCAGATTACTGCAAAATTCAAGCTGCTGACTTAATACAAAGGGCGACCACAAGTCAGTGGCCCGGAACAACTCTGAATCTTCTAAAGTTTCCAATATTAAAATTGTCAGCACATCGTTTGTATTTGAGAAACTTACGACTCACTCAAATGAATAAATCTACTTTTGTGGAAGAAAACAGAAGAAGGGAACAGCTTAAAGTAGATAATGTAGCAGAGAATGCCACACTTATAGGTAAGAATAAATAGGCTGTGGTCCTTTTAAATTTTAAAACATTAAATAAACATTTACAATAGGCTTAAAATAAACATGAATACAGAAAAAAGATTTTTATCCATAGTTATCCTAAATCTTTGCTTACTTTATGTGACTTTTGTGATTACCAGTTGACACCTAGTTTTCATTCCATTTAACATCTCATCCTTCATCTTTTCAATTACTTGCTATAATTGTTTAATTAGTTTTCTGTTTGAAAAATTTTTCAAATTTCTGTATCTTTAAGAAACAAATTTCTGGAGGAATATGCAATATAAAAGAATGTGGAAAAGGATAGAATGTAGAAAAATATTGATACGCAGATCTAAATCCAAATGGGTTGTAGCACCAAAAGAAGAAGAAAACGATAGAAAGTGGATCAGGTTAAAACAACCCCAATTATAGTAATCTAAGCTAAACAAATAAAATAAGAAATAACTATAAATAATTATTATAAGCAAATGAAGTAATTGAATAGCTGTATAATTATATACACAATCCAAAAATAAATAATTTGATACTCAAATAATTGTTATAATTATTTCCTTACTAGGAACAAAATGTTAAGAAGTTTAGGTGTTTCCTCTAATTTTTTGCTAAAACACATACAAGGTGTAATAACAAATAAAGGTATATTCTAGCTAAACCTTTTTAATCTGCTTTTAGGACGAATTGAACAGACATTCTCAAAACACACCAGACAACCGGAAAAAGCGGATGCTTTTTCATCACAACCTCAAAGGAACAATTCTGGAAGGACAACAATGGGAGTGGATGAAAATCATCCAGATTATGCATCGGGTCGATGGTGTTATGACACTCCGGGAGTAGTTCATCCAGATCAAATTTTGGATTTGTTAACGTTAGATGAGCTGATTTTAACTCTTCCTAAAGAATTAATACGACCAGAGACATTTTGTGTCAAGCCAGGCACTAGTTTGTTTATAGCTGGATTAGCTAGATTGGACTATCTAGAAGGTCCTGATTCTGTCAAGTAAGTATTCAGAATAATATTCATAAGATAAGATATAGGTTTATTGTACAGAATTGCGTAACAATTCAATCACTTATGAGATTTAATATGTTATAGCTGCCCCTTCCAGTTCTGTTTCTTTTAGAAATCTTGAGTGGATTAGTTAGGAATTAAATTAGTTAACAGACTGCCTACAAAAATATTTGTTCAGTTAATGTTCATCTTTAGAGCTATTCATTCTGATGTTTATTAGAGTTGTTTAAAAGAATTTTAATTGATGTTTTTATTTGTTCCGGATAAGCACGATTTCTATAATTGAGTATTTTGTAGATTAACAGTATTTAGGTCAAATGAATTGCCTATAACGATATGCACTTTGGACAATGCAGAAAAAACATATGATGACTGCCTGGGAACTGAATTATTTAGGGTACCAATAGACGAAGGAGATCGATTAAGTAAATGGCCTGGACTGTCAAAAGGAAAACCATTTACTGTTAAAGGAGTTACTCGAAGGCTTTCCAGTAATGACGTAGTATTATCGAATGCAGGTAAGTCAATATATGTTCAACAGAACACTTTAACTATAGGTTATGACACTAGTTTATCAAAACATCCGCAACAGTTATAAATTATAAAAAAGACGCAATGTGAATGTACATATAAGCTTATAAAGCTGTCAATACACTTTGGCCAAAGGAAAACATAAATTTGATTCAAAAAACATAGGCTAACTAAATTTTATATTGAAATATTAGACGCCTAGAAATAAGTAATTCCATGACTTCCTTTTAATACGATTTTTGTATGCCTGTATATAGTACATTTGTGTAGATATTTTATGTAATAATATATAATTGTGTAAATGTGATTATATATACACCTTTGTGACCGAGCATCTATATGATCAAAGTGAATCGCTTTGTGAATTTTAATAAACAGCTGTATTGTTTTTAGGATGGATTTCCATCACTTGTGGTAATCAAGAATACACTTTCCAAGCATGGACACCAAATCAAAGAGGAATACATTTAAGAGACAGTATCCTGCCTAAAATTGTAACGCTACGGGGAAAGAGAATTAAATATACCGTTCAATATGAGAAACATACTTTTATATAAATACTCTAAAATGTGTGTATATATCTTAAAATAAAATAAAAGATTTCGTACAGCTACTTGTTCTTTAATTTACTGTTTGTATTTTGAGAACGATTTCCGAAGTGGAAACTGAAACGCCAATAAACATATTTTTACCTTTAATTGTGGCTTATTCCCAGTTAAACAGTATTTAAGCTACTTGTTCGCCTTGATTTTTATATAATTATTTTATATATGAGGTAGCTAAATACAGTACTAATATAATGTTGGCTTTGGTAGATTATACAAAAGAAATGTAAAAATGTAGATGTGATTTTAAGATACATGCTTTAACGTAGTTTTTAAAATCTAAAGTCTTTTCAAGAGATTCTTTACTTCTTTATTTTTTAGTTTTTGTTTTGTCCTATGAAAACCCCTTATCAATACATTCGCAGATGTTATGTCTAACAAAGAAACTACGTAATTAACAAAAAAGAACTAATTTAACAAGGAAAATGTTTTATGTATGCATTCAATTGTATTGATGTAATGTACAACCTCAAAAGTATATATTTGAGCTGTTCTGAAAATTCAAATTTTCATATTTCATTTGAAATATGAAAATAGAATTACTGGAAACATCTACTCTTAATTTTTATATCAAATTTGCTTAATATTTACATAAAATTTATATTGACGAGGTACCGGGGGTATAGGGAATAATTAATTGTCAATGCCCCCATAATTTATATTAAGGAAATCCCAGAAAGGTTAAACGAAATTATTTTTACCACCTAAAGATTAAACGTAAGTCGTACTTAGTGGCTGCCAAGCAAAGCCAATGAAACCCAAAAACCAATTCATGCGGAAGACCCTAAACATAGGCAACCAGCTTTATGATAGTGTAATGGGTTTTGCATCACCATATTGATATATTTTACGTCATTGATATTGACCTTGTACATTATTATTTTTTGTATTATGACAGTGTATTATTTTATTTTTAAATTCATTAATAGAAATTTAAGGGTTTAAACAATATTAATTACGACAAATTAATTATATTTTATCAAGTAAGAGTAGGTTTTCTATTTAAATTTAATAAATAAAATTCTTCCTTGCAATTAATTTTTCTATATCATTACAGTTTTTGATCGTGTACTCCCAACACATAAATTTGGTCATATATTTTCATCATTTCATTTTAATCTCTTTCACTACTTTTGAACTATCGTAGTTCTCTGCTACTATCCCAACGATGCAACTCCGTGAAAAAATGTCAACGTCAAAATTGAATGACAAAGTTAGCATAGAACACTTAGACAAGGACAAGGAAATTGTCTAGAAGATAGAACATATACTCTGATGTAGACCTGTAGACACATAGGTATTAGCTGGGCAAATTATCCCCTGGGATATTACCCAATAAAGGAAGAAGAAGAAGGAGATCTGTAAAACATAACCTCTAAAAATATCCTTTTTAGTTTTAAATTATAAACTTAATAACAATTTAAATAACTTATTTCAGGTGGTAATAAGGAATAAAATATGGCCCGAAACGCCGAAAAAGCGATGTAAGTAAAATATTATGTTGCATCGGTTTGGTTATGAAATACCATCATATTTGTTACTAAACTTACTTTCCAATCTATCTTGTTTTTAGGACAACATTAGCTCGATGGAGAGCAGCACAATTAGGAGAAATAGATAAGCATAAAAAGCGAAGGCCTTATCTTGCATCAGAATGTAAAAATTTACATGCTTGTGAAAAATGGAGAATGCAGATAATAAGAGAAATTGCGAAAAAAGTGGCTCAAATTCAAAATGCTGGCCTTGGAGAATTTAGGATAAGGGACTTAAACGATGAAATAAATAAACTACTTAGAGAGAAACGACATTGGGAGGACCAAATAAAGGAATTGGGTGGGCCTGACTATCAAAGAGTTGGACCAAGGATGTTGGATCATGAAGGAAAAGAAGTACCTGGAAATAGGGGGTATAAATACTTTGGGGCGGCCAAGGAATTACCAGGTAAAGTTAAATAAGGTCTATAAATGTTTATAGAAAGCTGAGACAGATATTTTGGTTCAAATTTTTCATTGAAATTATAAAATATATATCCTATAGTATAAGGACCATGTTCTCACATGAATAAAATGGTATTTATTGGAATTTTAGCGCAGTTTAAAGTTTAACACTTTGTATTGTATAACAGTCTGTTGATTTTTTCAACTGTTTGATGTTTATTTTCTTTTACAATATAATTTTTGTTTTATATTTCAACTTTTATGCTACATTTATATTATGTATGGTCGGTGACTGCTATATGGGAGTAGTAGTTTGGACTCTGAAAGCCCAATTCATAAAAAATTAGAGGCTTTTGAAATGTGGCTATAATCAGTGTATTCTAGAAATTCCTTGGACTGCAAAAGTGTCAAACGAAGAAATGGCAAGACGAACTGGACATAACAGAAAGCTTATGAACGCAATTAAAATAAGAAAAATATTGTATCTGTATATAAATACTCTCTTCTACATGTCATCATGCAAGGAAGCGTAGAGGGAAGAAAGAAGAAATCTTAGCTGAGCAATATTAGAGATTGGACTAACCTCTGTACTAAAGAGTGATTTCACTTTGCAAAAGATAGGGAAGCATTTAAAGAAGTGATCGCCAACCTTCGTTAGAAGAGAGCACAATAAGAAGAATGCCACATTTTGATATTCATATTCTAGAAGTATTGATTTTACAATGAAACAGCTACTATCTCTAGTCCATTACTACTCTTTTAAGCTACTGACATTTATCCATTAATATCCTATAAGCTTAATATTAGTGACAATTAGTTTAACCTTTTCATTGAATTTATCCTCCCAGGGGATCAGAACTGTGATTAGTACTCCTGAAGTAAACATATTTTATGTACTGTTTTATGTACAGTTGGCCTTTATATGGAACTATTTGGTAAACAACACAGAAGTTTGTAGAGAACATCTGACATCTTTTAATACAAATCATATAGATTCCAGACTTTCCAAATTAGGTCTGTGTTATTTTCAGGATGGCTAGCAATATCCTCTCAATGGAATGCTTGTTTAAGCTTGAAAAATCTATTTAGGCTAATGGACTATTTTATTAGCTACAATCCATAGAGAAGACTCTATTTATTCCAACATTGTTGGGCACATTTGTGGTATATTCTTTTGAGTTAAATATAAATTAACCATGTTCACCATTTGCAGCATTACGTCTGGAATATATCTCATGGAAAAAACAGTAGGGGAAGGCATTTTATTAGAAGGGTCTGGGGCAGGTTTATACCACTTAATATGTCTCTTTCATCTTTATTTGGTACTTCTGAGCATCTTTTGTATGGATCTATATTCTTTATATCATCTTTTGTAACTAGGACTGAAAAATTTCATCTTGGACAGTTGTGTCTCATTCTTCACTGCCCTCAATCTCGACCTCTTCATCAAACCAAAACAGAACATCCAAGTCGTCATTATTTTCTAAATAGTACAAGATTTGCTCTTCACTAAGGGGCTTGTTGTTCTTTGACAATATAAAGAAAATAAAGAAAAACACATAATTAGTAACGAGTACCTAATACAAAAGATCCAAATCATAAAAATTTGCTTAAAATTTTTAAAAACTTCATAAAAAGCATATACTCTTATACATTATTTATTTGAGCATACAGTTCTTTTGTCTCTGCACAGAGACATACCAAAAACACCTCCTAAATTCTATACTATCTTTTAACACAAAACTGTTGGTTGAATAGGTATAGCAAAACTAACTCTTGTACTTACCGACTTCACAAGATTACATTTTTGTTTATAAAAAACCACATTTCCTGATACATCTGAATATACCCGAAACAGCTGACATAATGTCTATCATAAATCATTTGAACTACACCCATATACTTGTGCAGGCTTTTAATTGTTTTAGAAAGGTTGTACATTGGAGTACAATGTGTGTTCAGCATTCAAAAAGCACAATCCATTCATTTAATACCATAGAAAAGGACTAATATACTATGAACTACTTTTTTGTTGTTGGTTGGTTGTTTTGTTGTTGTTATCATCAAAAATTCACAGGTAGCAGTTACAAATGAGAGTTTAGGTTTTCATCTCTACTTAACTGACTACTGGAAGTTTCATGTGTAAGAAGAGGGAGTTATACCAATTCTAATGTGAGAGTACAAATCAATAGTAGTGTGCAAATAAATAAAAAAGAGAACATTTCTATAAGATTTTATTTAAATTAATGAGAAAAATTACAGTTGAACAAATAGAAAGGCAGTACCAAATTGAATCTATGAAATTATTTTTAAGTTAAATTAGAACATTTATCACAAATATTGCTATTGTATGTGGCAATCACAAATCTAAAATAAATACATTGCTTCGAATAATTAACAGTATGATTTTCAAATTATCTAAAGAAACTTTTAGCGTTATTTGAAATATATTTTAAAATTCACATTTTGAAAATGTACTTTGTCATCAAAAATTCGTTTGTGCTTGCAGGTAATAACTAATTATTTTCGTTAAATGTTTAAACAAAATATAACAACTCTTTTAAAATAGTGTGACCTGCTTTACAATTAAAAAAAATACACTAAGTAACAATTACTTTTAAATGAATATGAATATCTAATACTACAAATATTCATTTTCATCATATGCTTAAACTGTTATGAACCAAACTTTTTTTTATTTTTTTTTTTTGGTCAATACAATAATTCTTAATTATTTCAACACAAAAATTAACAGTAGGTTATTCTAGGATTAATATTCAAAAATAATAATGTCTATCAAATCGTTTTGATAATTATTATGTCCTTGGATACCAATCAAAATTGCACAAATAATAAATAGAATTCTAGATAATGAAGCTAGTAGATCTAATTTAATTGTTTTGCTCAGTCAATAATATGTTTTTATATGTTTCTGAGGTTTATGAATTCACCTATTAATAATAAATAATCATAGTAATAGTGGACAAAACTTATTGTGAAACCAATTTTGAGCTGCTTTAAGAAGATACCAAGTATAAAAAAGAATGTAATTTTTAGTGTTTTCTGATTATAATCTTTTTCCAATTCCTGTCTCAAAGTCTTTATATCTGGAAATCTCCAACTGACTATATTCCCAAAAAGTCACCATGAAAAATATTTCGTAAATTGGAAACTGAAATTAATGAAAACCTTAATTTTCTCTTCCTAAAAAAGAAACGGGTGTCATGTTTGACTTTATAAGCTAAAAACACTAGAAGCATTATTTTCTGTATGTAGTAAGTTTTGATTACAAAGAGCTAGGAATATAAACTGCCCTGTTTATGCATGTTTATTAATTTCGAAAAATTTGATTGATTGTCGAAAAAATATCACAAACTTCTTCAAATATTATAGGAATCTGGTATCTATACCAAAGATTTATGCTCAATCACACATTATATTAAAAAAAGAATGATTGTATAAGTAGGCATAAAAATCTCACAAGGATTTAAAATAAAATGATGATTTCATGCCTAGATTTTATTACCTACAATTACTCAGCACATACTCTGAAATTCTGTTTAAGGAATTTATCACAGATGTTAGGAACACATTTATGACGGTTGATAGTGTGAAGGATGAAGCATGTGATAAATACAGCATGACATATATACAACAAATAATTAAGCTTTAGAAACAGTAGACAAAGTTACATATCTTGGGTACAGTCTCAATAAGGAATGGGAATAGTAAACAATAATCATAGATCTAACATTGTTTAATATTTCCGAGAACGAGAACTGTCTTCAATCACCTCAGAAACATTTTATGTAATATGCACCATGCATTGATTCAGAGCAACCATCAACAAACTAATCCGCAGAATAGAAACCAATCGAAAATTATTTTGAACAGTTTTTTTTGTATTCATTTTTGATTTTTTGGTTACCAACTGCTTCTCACTGAAACTCACGCTTTTATGGCTTTTAGTTATAATTGACCATAATATTTAACATTCCTACAAAATTTAAATTTTTATCAATTTAATTGACTGTAAAATATACAACACATAAAACCGATAAATATACTAAAACACGTAATACTGAAAAATAACTAATAAAATAACCATAATTTTTTTTTGACAACAAAGTTAACATTTATTCACTTGAAGATTTTTCAAACCATTAAACTTGCTTGTTTGTAAGGTGTTCGAGAACTTTTTGAGCAGGAACCGCCTCCTCCTCCAAGGAAAAGTAGAGCAGAACTAATGAAAGACATTGATGCAGACTACTATGGATACATGGACGACGATGACGGAATTTTGATTCCACTGGAAGTTAAAGCTGAAAAAATAGGTAAAATTTACATATATTATTTAAGTATTTTAAGTAGGTATTAATTCTTAACCTGTCATACTAAATAAAAACTTTTATTCTCCAATATAATTTCTTTATACTAATATATTTATTACAATGGTAATTACAATAATTTGATGTCTGTGTAAAAATAAGCCGATACTACTGAGTATCAAAGACTCTAACAGCGAATTACTATCCGACAAGCGAGAGCTGGCGGGTTGCGCATAGAACAAATTGAAAAGTGGAAGGGATTGCTCATTTCTATTGCTGTCGGCTAAGAGTTCATATCGTAGGGATTAGTGCTAGATTTCTGACAGTGTTGTCAAGCATTTACATTTTTATTTGAAGTGGCTGTATATTATAAACTATTATTTATGTTTATTAATATGGCAAGTGTATAAAAGGGCAAACCTTTGGGATCTCAAGCATGAGAAATAATTTTCAATGTTTTTAAGTTTGCAATCGAAGAAGCTAATGCAGATAAAGTCTTAGTTGATTTAAAAAAAGTACAAGAACGTGTCGCTCACTTAAGTGGTAATTATTATAATACTCATCTGAAATTATTATATTTACTAAAGAATAATGCCATAAGTAATATATCTTTATATGTATTATACCTTTTATATACCTTTGCACATAAGTGTGTAAATTATTGATTTTTTAGTTTTAAATAAAAGTAAAATAATCAATTCAAAATTTTTATAATCGAGTTATATTTATCATTTATGAATAGTTTAGATTGAAGTGAAAAGTTTTTATATTTTTTAATCTTCCTAATAGTAAGCTTTTGAGGCTAGATGATATGCAAATCTTGCATGTACATTTTATTAGACTCAGGTATTCTCAACAATTTATTTGTTTTACTATGTGCTACAATATTATGCTGTATATGGCTTTTAAAATATTCCTTTTTATGGATAACTGTAACTAACCGTGATCTTATATTACAAATATCCCTTCCATAAAGTAGATTTTTTTATTTCATAACTTGGGAAGTAGTTAGCAGAGTTAGTTTCAGTATACCTGAAATTAACTGAACCTATTGCAAAATAACGAAATTTAATTCAAAAATTGGTCAAAACTTTTACATCAATTGTCTAACATAATAATTTGGTAAGTATACAACGTATATTCTACTAACGTAATTTTCAGATCCCAACTAAATTTTTGATACGGCAACTAAGCATTTGTGACACTCGCGATTAAGTACCTCACCTATCTCTCTTAGAATAATGCCTTTTCTATTTTCGGCAGCTCACCCGCCAGCTCTCGCTTGTCGGATTCTAAGCGCGAATAAACTTATTTTAATTCTGCAGAATACCCACAATTTTTTACAACAATCTTTGAAAATTCTGTATCTCTTGATCACAGAACAAAGGGACATTAAAACAAAGTCAATCATACTTTGTTTTAATGTCCTTAAGGAACTATACCTGTGCCAAATTTTAAAACTACATCGTCTCTGTACATTGAAGAACATTGTTAAGTAGGCCAAGACTCACAAAGGGTTGTAGCGCCATTAGAAGAAGAAGAAAGATCACTAGTAAATACAATAAACAAACACGACAAGCCATGAAGTAAAAAGACATAAAACAATAGGAAACAGAACTTTCCATGGTCTTCAGAAACATCTGAGAAATAAAAACCTAAAACCTGCATTAAAGCTTAACATTTACAAGACCTTAATGAGACCGGTTTTGATATATGAGGCTGAAACATGGACTTTATGCCAAAATGACGAGAGATTACTTGGTATCTTTTGGAGGAAAATACTTTGAAAGTTTTTGGGACCGTAAATAAAAATGGACTAGGGCAACGAATATATAACGTTGAATTACACCAGGTAAACACAGATACAGCTATTGTGAAATTTATTAAGGTGTAAAGGCTAAGATGAGCTGGACATATTGCTAGGATGTCAGATAATGAGTACTTACATGAAGAGATTGATATTCTCAAACTTATAAGGTAGAAGATGGATTAATGATGTGGAAGAAGACCTTAAAATCCGTGTCAAACTGTCAAATGTTTGATCAAACTAGTTTGACCAAACCAAGAAATTAACAGCATATGACGTCACATCCCGAGTTTGATCAAATCCTCTAAAAATAGAAGATCTTCTATTTTCAAGGTCAGTTTGATCAAACTTTAATTTTGATTGGTCGAAAAATATCTAAAGTCAAATGACAATCAGCAGAGATAACGTATTTAAATTAATTTTTTTTTCTTTGGTCGACAGTGTGTGGTTTATTTGTCTTCCTATTTTGTTATAAAATAAAAATTTAAAATATCTTGCAGCCAGGAACAAGTTTCTACATAATTGATTTATACAGAGAAAGAAGCTGTTTATATGTCAAACATCCATATTATTATAAAAATCCTTTCACACTATTTATTTTCTTTGTTTATAAGAAAAATTAGAATCCTAAATAAAGCCCAAGCAACTAATAAAACAAGCAAAAAGACAATTAATTTCCTTGACATACGTCAATTTGAACAAATATGAATGATCATGTGACAGGTAGATTTTTAAAATTTGAACAGACTGTAACTATGACGTCATTACGCCAGTTTGCTCAAATATTTTACCGTCTGACACGGATTTAAGGGCCAGAAGATGGATGAAACTTGTTAGGAATCGACGGGAGTGGCGACTTCTTTGCGGACAGGCTAAGATCTACAAGGGATTGTCAAATCAAATATGATAATGAAAATTGAAAATGTAATGATTTTGCAAGTTTAGATAAAGCTGATGAATTCTGATTGAGTGTTCAGATTTTTGCAAATAAGCTTATTTTGGTAATTTTCTACACTGGAATCTAAAGTAGATAAATCACCACAAACGCTTGTTATACTTTATTGTACTTCAAGCCAAAGTATCAGTTAGGTGTAACATATGTAAAATTATGACAATTTGACAAAATTTTTATGAATTTTAATATGATTTAATATGATTGTTCAATTTCAAATTTGTAGTTTCACAGGCGAAAATTTATTATGCTTTCCTGTACATTTTTATACTCACAAAAAATAATATCCTTTATAATAATTGCAAATACAATCTTATACTTTCACTGATCATACAACTGACGATGGTTTTCACCATTACTTTAAACACCAGCAGTGTTTCTGTGTACATTTCTACATTACACTAATGGGATAGCAATTTTTATGTGGTTCGTGATCAATTATTATACTTACAACAATTTCATTTATTATTTGTGTTACAGCCGTTCAAAATACAGTAGCTGAGTGGGTTAGTAAAAAAGAACAAAATTTGGAGAATGCTGAGAACCAAGCAGAAGAAAATATATATGCAGTTGAAGAGGTAATTATTTTTAGAATGATATTTATCTATGAGTATTTTAATGTCGCGTTAAGTTCGCAGTGTCGCAAGCAGATGACCATATATTTTATATGGTAATATAAATATCAAAAGAGTAATGGAACGAATTCACCAAAATGAAAAAAAAAAAAAAAAAAACGCGCGAATCTACCAAATTCACGTATGAAGCTTAACAAAATAGCGCTGCATAAGATTCTAAACTCCCAACTAAGGGTGAAAAACTCTATAGTATATTTAAATATAGCATAAAACTTTTTGATTGTTTTAATGAAAAGTTTCAATACTTTAAAGACAGTACTGTAAAGAGAGTTGTTGCTAAATAAACAATGTTTTCAAACAACCTCTGTAAGTGTCAAAGAAGACACATCTTCAGATCTGTCTGCTCTAGTTATTAATACAATTAATTTTAAAATAAATTTTTAAATAATTATTGACGATTTATTACGATTATAATCGTCAAGATATTGTTAGTTTTATGAATTAATGTCAAAATCACATCATTCTATATTTACTGAATACTTCAAAACTATTTTGGCACCGTGGATTTATTTATTCCAGATCTTCGTGACTAGATAAAATACTAGGTATTACATATGGCTGAACTCATATTGAAGTGAGGTTTCCAATAATAATAAATCATTATATAGAGAGATGTATTACACCAAAGTAACTAATGATATCAGAAAATGGTAAATCTGGCAACATTGCAAGCATAAAATTTGCAATTTCCATATTGCAAAATGGGCTTATCCCGGTTTTTGTGCAATTCGGATCATCCATTTAAGAGAGAATTGGGCGTTTTTCAGATTTTTGGTCAATTCTATATATATATATATATATATATATATATATATATACAGTGTAGGAAAAATTTTATGGTCGGTATGGTAAAATTTAACAGGATATCTAACGCAGATATAAAATCATATTTTCAGCGAATAGACAAAGATAACAATCATATTTCCCCTTGGTCTCCCTCCTCAAATATTTTTAACACCTATTGGCCATTAGTGAGACGAATAGTTCCGATCAGAGATATTTTACATATTCTCTGGTTCCGATCCTAATATACCTAAAAAACTAGAGGTGGGTCCTCCCGTTTTTTAAATTTTTATCGTAACCGTTTTTCGTAAACTGTAACTAGTTGATTCAAATTAGTGAGTACACAAACATATTGGCTATTATCGTTTATGTGTATAAGTATTGAAGTGAAAGAACCTAACGAAGGATATATTTATTATAACTTGAAAAATAAATTAAACAATACAAATAGTACTTACATTTACATTACACGTTATTATTAAATCGCGAACCGTCTAAATTGACATTTAAAAACAAGTTTTTCTACTTTTCTTGTTAACTGTGTTCTTCTTTTATTTAAAATTAAACCAGATTTTAAACATGTGTTCACAAGGAAAAGATTTTGTTACAATTCTACAATATTTTATGAATATAGTGGCTAAGTTAGGATATACATGGCGATGGTTTTTCCACCACGGTAATGGACAGTTCCAATCTCCGTTCGAAATTTATTGTGGGTAATATATTATTAGACAAATACATGTCTACTTCTTGTATATCTCTCGATACAGTTGTATGTTTAGATGAGTCATGTCCAATTAATTCATCAAAAATACACAATGGACTTAAGTCATCTTTATCAGTTTCTTTTTCTTGACTAAACTTATTGATTTACTAAACTTATGCAAAGACTCGTTTCATCCGTTTTCTATAGGTGAAGAACCAGATTTTAAAAAGTTTGCAGGGTGGATTCCTGGATATAAACCGCCAACAAGAAAAACTGTTAGATTCATTACTTCAGGAATGTTATGTCAAAACTGATTTGATAATAGATAAAAAAAGTCCTTTTTTCGACAATTCTGCAAAAAACATTAAAAAAAGTACCTTATCTTCAGAAAGGCTTAATTACAACATAACAAAGTTCCCAAACGGCCAATCCAAGACGTGAAAACTAGGTAGAACTTCACCTATTACAGGTTAAAAAGAATGACTGAGTTAGAAGAGGCAATCCGTTTCACTTCTTCTTCTTTAAGTTCCATCTTCTATCGAAGGTTGGAAATCATCATGGCTATGCCGACTCTGTTGACTGCCGCTCTAAAAAGGTCTGCACTACTTCATTCAAACCATTCCCTTAAGTTCTTAAGCCAGGATATTCTTCGTCTTCCCACATTTCGCTTTTCTCGGATTTTGCCCTGCATAATAAGTTGTAATAATGCGTATTTTTGCCCTCTCATCACATGTCCCAAGTACTCAAGTTTTTGTCTTTTAATAGTTAATATTATTTCTGCCTCATTTCCTATCCTTCTAGTTACTTCAATGTTTGACATTTTTTGAATCCATGATATTCGTAGGATTCTTCTGTAACACCAAAATTCAAAGGCGGCCAACTTATTCAGATGAACTTGTTTTAGTGTCCAAGCTTTCAGACCATAAAGAAGAGTAGAGAACACGTAACATCGAAGCATTCTCAGGCGTAGTTCTAACCTTATATCCCGACAACAAAGAAACTTTTTAAGTTTAATAAATGATGTACGTGCTATTTCAATACGTGTCTTAATTTCTTTGATTTGGTCTACATCTGATGTTATCCATGTTCCTAAGTATTTATAGTTATTAACACTCTTAATTGCAGTATCTTCAATAGTCAATTGGATATTTGTGCAGATTTAGTCATGATCATGCATTTAGTTTTCTTTAAATTTATCTTCAGTCCGTACTCATGACAGCGTTCATTAAGGCGTTGCATTAGGTTCTGTAAATCATTCTTGTTATCCGTAATTATTACTGTATCGTCTGCAAAACGTAAGTTATTCAAAACTTCTTCGTAGATAGATATACCTTCTATTGAGTCAGAGAGCGCTTCTTAAAATACCGATCACTGTAGACATTGAAAAGTAGTGGGGACAGCACGCAACCCTGGCGGACTCCTCTCTGTATTTTGATATTTTCAGTGTACTGGCGTGTATTTCCGTTCCACATCGGTATTAAATAATACAGACTTAGACTTAGACCAAATCTAAATAAAAAACACTGGATTATTTGTTCTCAGCTTTCCCAAATTTTACGGCCGTTTAAAGAAATAACAAGTACAATGAGTGGCCAAAAATACTTGAAGGGTAGTTCAGTGATTGTTATGGTACGCCATATGTTTTGGCCATTATGTTTGTTTATGTAGGTACTCTCTTATTTGAAACTACTTTTAAACAATCATAGTTAGTTGTTTACAAAAATTTAAATTTTTAAATTCATTCATTTTTTTTGGAATCCTGAGAAAACTAACAAATATTTTTGAAAAATTTAAATGCAGAATAAAAGATTACATTATTACCGAGGGCCGAAAGTCCCTTAGAATAAACAAAAAGTTTTTTGAATGAGATATTTGAAATTAAAAATCACACTAATTTTTTTTTTCGCCCTTATAACTTATTAAAATAAACATTATAGAAGTTTTCAGGGACTTTTGGCCCTCGGTAATAATGTATTGGTTCATTCTGCGTTTAAATTTTTCAAGAATATTTATTAGTTTTATCAGGATTCGAAAAAAATGAATGCATTTAAAAAATATTAATCGCTCTTACGCTCTTAACGATAAAATTACCACGACCCACCTCTACTACCCGTTACTCGGTATTCTGACCAGACGGACGACGTTGCCAAATAAATTATTGTGTGTGAATATTTTTTAATGTGGTGTTATTGTATGCAGTTTATTATTTCATATTGGGAATAAGGCACAATGTGACTTTAAAATAAGCTTATTTTGATGTTTAGATTTTTAATTCGGAATCGTACTTAAAATACGAAACATTAATAAATTTTATTTAGGTATATAAAACGATTTCCAAAGTGGAAATCAACATCTTATATTACACTTATTGTAAAGTAAACTTGTGGCATATTCCCAATAAAAAAAAAGAGTAAGCTGCCATTTAAATCAATTTCGCCCAAATTGGATTATCTTAGAACATTGTTCAAATGCAAAAAAAAAACAACAGGTGAAATAAATCCAATAAGTTTGGCAACGTTGAATTTCCCCTTTTTTAATATTTCCATTCGGCGATATAAAGGGCGTACCTAATATACCTCTCTCTTTTTAAACAGCTGTTTCTCACTCCATCTTACGTAAGGTCCATACCGACCATAAAATTTTTCCTACACTGTATATATATATATATATATATATATATATATATATATATATATATATATATATATATATATATATATATATTATCCTCTTTATATATAGTGTCACCTGCATATCTAATTTTCTTACACCTCAATACCTTTCCTGATATCATCAAGAGCATCTCTAAAGTTGTGCTGAATACAGATTGAACAGTATCAGTGACAGAACGTACCCTTTATGAACTTCTTTCTATATCGGTACAGGTTTCGTATAATGTTTTTAATTTACCCCGTCGCCTTCTGTCCCTAATAAATAACCCATACTCCCCGCTAACCTCAACCACCAATCTAGTGCTTAACTTTTGTTAGGCAACTATTTTTCCAAGCAATTTTCGTTATGATAAATATTTTTATTCTTAACCTAAGACTTAGTGCTCCACTTATTCTTCCTTTCTTCAACATTCTACTAAATTTTGTCATACAAATATGCTTGTTTTGTACCAGTAAAGCTTTTATCCTAGCTAAAGGCCTTATTAACATTTTTTAAATTATAATTATTCTCTTTTTAGTCTGAAGATGAAGATAGTAAGGAAACTGTACAACAGTTAGTAGATGGATCACAGCAAAGATTCGTTGCACATGTACCTGTACCATCTCAACAAGATATAGAACAGGCCCTACTGAGGCGAAGAAAACTTGAACTTATGGAAAAATACGGTGTAGAAGAGGAACCGAAATCGTAGTGCATTTGTAGAAATTTAGGTCCAAAAATTATTATTTTGTAACAATAAATTTTTTAAAGTTGTTTTTTTTTCTTTTATGGCAATTAATAATGGTTAGTAATTATTAAAAAAATAATAATGTGATGGAATCGAGAAGAGAAATAATGATAAAATTAAATAAAAAGTAATTTCCTATTTAAAAATTAAAGCCATACCTTTTATTTTATTCGTGCTTATTCCGGTTTAAGTATCCCTCGACATATTAACGTAAATTCTAAAACTGTATCACATACTCTTCTTTTACTGGTTTTTTCTCTAAAACAAATTAACATAAAAATTAATTACATAAAAGGTAAACCAGCAAAAGTAATGAAATTAGCTACGTTTCAACCTTTAGCTTAATTAAATATATAATATAACCGCTGTCTTAGGTGTCTTGTAGATTTTTTTTTTACACCGGACAACAGACCGTGTTTTTAACCGGACTCATAGTGTTATTAAGCCTACGTTGGTTATACCGGTGTAAGAAAATGCGTTCTGCCACGTTTGTGCATTGATGTGTGTATATACTTCATCTAATTTACTTACCGATGCACGTCATTATCATTGACAGAGATCGAAGTTTACATAGTTGCCAAAGTATAAAAGATCCTGGACTCCATTTTAAATCAAATAGGTCACATAATTATTGCAAAAGTATTACCATCTCTGTACAACAACTATTTAAATTCTAACGTGACATTTTTTAAATATAACACACTAATTTTGTTCTAAAAAGAACAGATTTTAATAAATAGATAAAAATATAAAACAAGAGGAATTCACTTTTAAATTCAAAATAATAAAGTAAAAAAAGTGCCAATACTGCAACTGTCACATAAGTGTTACCAATTTATGCCAAAATATCACCTTCGTTCGATTACAGTTACAGTGTGTTCCGGACAAATTTTCTTCATAAAAACGCTTTATAATGCATTTATACAAATTAAATGAAACATATTATTGTGTATTTGTTTAAGTTAACATTAATAGAAATCTTTAACTATTATTTCTACGCGTATATAATAAAATATGTCTAGTGGCTGTAAAGTCAATGTACTCAGCAAAGTGATTCTAAAAAAGAACACACCTAGCGCCTAAATATTTCGTGTTGGTATCATGTGACCTCACGGACTATGACGCGGATGACGTACATCGGTAAGTAAATTAGATGAAGTATATGTGAGCAGACTTACCTCACGTTTTTTAGAAATTGATTGCTGTATACCTCCTTTTTTTACTTGAAATTAATTACGGAGAACATTAATAGTTAACATGATATGGTAGAAAAATAGACCCGTGCTTTGGTGTTGATTGTCAATAACCTTTTCTTTTGTGTTTCGGTTTCTTTCTGCAGTTTCTCATCTTTTACAAATAGTACACTATTAAGAGTTTTTTGTTCAATATTACCACATGAAATTGGCGGCTTGGGCTTTCTATTACCACATGTAAAATCTCTTTGACAAGTTCAAAAACTGACCTGGAGAAACGGCCTTCGCAAGCAATGTCAAATCGGTAGAAAATTTTATTTTATAGAAGGATCTACTTTTATTGAGGCTACAATGTCCAATGAGAAAAAGAGCACCTACAAAAGACTTTAAGTAGGAATTGTCTCTTTGATGCCATCTGACCATCTTATTGGAGGACGTCTTCAATGGACTACCTATGCTTTGACGTCACAATGACCAGGGCTTTTAAAAACCTTTCCAAACATGTCTAATTTGTGGGTATTTGTCCCATAAGAAGTTGGAAATAATGGTTTCTTTAATTTTGTTTGAAAAATAAATAAGGACTTTTGGTCATGAACATTCATTCTGTGTAATTGGTATTATTTGTTGTTCGTGAACTTGTGACGTAAGAATATCAAAGATATTTACTATGAATGTTCATATTTTAAGGTATTTTGTTGTTGTCTTCATCGGTGATATTTCAAAATTAATCAATAAATCATTGAATTTATTTACGAAGTTAAAAAATATTTAAATAAATGTTTTAATCTTTTTTAAGTGGAAGTGATTTTATCCTCTAAAAGACTAAATATATTCGTTTTTTCGTAGTTTAAATAGTTAATAGTAGTTTTGTTGTCGTTACTTAAATATTCAGTAATACTAGATATCTTCAACACATGTTTATTAGCCAATATATGCCAGGATCTAAAAATACACCCAAAAACATTATTTTAAATACTCACTACGGCAATTTTACAGAAAGGTTTTCACAGAATGCATATTAAAACTTAAACTACGAGAAAACGAATATCTTTAGCATTTAACAGGATAAAATCACTGGCAACGAAAAAAGAATAAAACATTAATTTAAAAATTTTTAACTTCGTAAATAAATTCAATGATTTATTCATTTATTTTGAAATAACCCTGATAAAAACAACAAAAAAAAAATACCTTAAAATAAAGTACAAAATTGTTTTAATCAAACCATAACATAACCTTAAAATATAAACATTCATAGTAATACATAGATATCTTAATACTTTGATATTCTTACCTCACAAATTCGCGAACAACAAAAAATACCATTCGCACCAATCGTCCATAACATCAGTTTTTCTGTTTGATTTCACTTTAATTAAAAGCAAGTGTAGCATGCGGCAATAACACTACTATATGTCATCTCGTGTAAGGACTACGGAGAACAAATCCGCGAGAAGAACTCGATTGGATCTTTAAGCAAGAAGTATTCAACTATAAATAGAGAATCTGCTCAACACGCTCGTTAAGACTATTTGTAGGAGCGTGTTCTGATTTATAGATCTACTATTAACAGTATTAGACATAATGCTATACATTCATCTTAACATAGTAGCCATATGTGTGTTCGGATTTTAGGGACTTATGTGGTTATCTTCTAACTCTTCAACTTTCTTGGCTGCGCTGAGCTTGATTGAAAAATTTAGAGCATATACAAATTTACATATTTAGAACATATTTTTTTGTAATCACTGACTGATCAATCACCATAATAATACCGGTTAAGGCAGCATCGAATATTACTATTACGTTTAACAATATCTTACCTTAAAATTGACTTAACAAATGCTTCTTTTTGCGACGCAGTAATTCTAGGAGATGGAAATCCGTCTTGGGCCAAAAGAGAGTTTAACCACCTACTTAGGTTATCACAGTATTTTTTATTCAAAGCTAATAAAATATCACTAAAAATGTCTACCGAGGTTCTGGGGGCTGTACTTCCTAGAAACAAGTAATTAAACATACAATTTTGTGGAATGTATAACTATAAGTCATGTTTATAAAAATAAGATTCTTTTTTTATTTAGTAATATATTTAACCAAACGCCTTGCTTTTAAAATCTGATGGGTGAAATTTAACTAATTGACGTTTGCTATATTTATCGACATTTGACTTTCAATTCGGAAATAAAAATAAACATAACTTTATTCCTACTATGCATCATGGCAAACATGATTAAGTTTACACCCACAAAAAAAATATGTAAATTAAAATTTGATCGCTGATTCAATTCAAACTTCTTTAGTTTGACTGGATAAAATTTTACAAATAGGTTCACTTTACTATTCAAGAAAAAATGTATCGGCTTTTACAAAAATCCTATTAAAGATTATATAAGGTAGTACAGGTTATTTACCCTATCTGCACCTCGACCTAACAAGATTTTTGTGTAAAACACTAATCTAGATCAATTCTTTAATCAAAAATACTTCTGATACATTTGATCAGCTTTATAGGGATCAAGTTTTTTACATACAAAGATTTAAGGGTAAGCCCTTTGAAGAACAATACTATGCCGTCGTATAGGATGTGTTATACCCTTCCTAACTGTGACAACCATCTTATTAAGAGTATATCTCATGGGTAAAATACCTTAATATTGGTGCTAAAGATGGCTTCAACAGAAAAGACTTGTACCTTAAATTTTTTTGCTTGTTTCGAATCAACACTTTCAGGTTTCAGCAAAGCTTTTTTGATTCCCTAACCTGCGTATTAAGCCAGTGAGATCGTAGCTGCTTTTATCCAGAAATTCTCCCTTTAACGTGACATCGTCAGTCAACGAGTCAACAAAAGAGTTCCGGGTGTAAAGCTCTACAAAAATCACATATATGCGCCAGTAAGCAAAGAAAAAAAGGAAGATTATATAGAATACCGTACAGTTTTCGGATCCGAATGATATTTGTTCATAGAGAGGTTAAAACATAAAAACTCTTACAACAAGGAATCAGTATTAATTAAATTCCTTCTTTCAGTGTCAAACCTGTTGAGTTATTCTTATTATTATTAAAATTTACGTTACTTTAAGAAAAAATTACCTAAATTCATGAGTATCCTTAAAACTAAACTTTCACCATACGCTTGTATCACTTGAGCGAGGGACGTTTCTCTACTTTGAGATATAAATTGTACTAAAAAACTTGAAACTTGCTTCACAGCTTGAATTTCTGGTAACACTAGACAGAGGATAGCTGAAATGAAACACATTATTAGTAAACAATATAGTGTAAATACTTTTAGCGTTTAAAGAAGAAAATGAGGTCTTAATACCTTAAAAACTTAACTAACATGGTTTGGTCCTTACTGAGTAAGCTTTTTAGTGTTGTACTATTTAATATTATCATTAGTATTCGTCAGTTTTTCGCGTCCACTGCCGGACATATGCCACCTCAATACGTCTCCAGGAATTTATATGTTTTGCAAGTTATAACCCAATTATGTTCTATTCTCCGTATGTTGTCTGTCCATCGCGTAGATATTCTATCTTCACGGGTTATCCAATCCAACAGTCTTTTAGTTGATATATTACAGTTAAGTCGTGCTCAACGGTGATATACATTGCCTACATTACCTGTAAACCGTATTTTGCCATTGTTACTTTTTCTATAATATCTTTTATGTACCGGGTGGTCCAATAAGCCGATCTCTCGGCTATACATCAGAAACTATTCATGTTATAACTTTAGGAGAAAAAATTTTCTTAGTAAAAGTGGCCAAGAGAAATCGCTGGAAATAACTTTCAAGATTCTGGATTAACCGCCAGGGGGCGTAACCTGCGAAGAAAATTTTGAAAACCAGTTTTTTGGGAAATATGTCCAATTATACCAAGTGTTAAATAAGTAAACTAGAAAGAGGCATAAATTCTGCACAAAGTTGTTTAAGTACTTTTTTTATTTTTTCAAATTAAGGGTGGGGGAGAGTGGGAAAGTATTTGTGGATAAATACCTATAACTTTGGTTTGGATCAACCGATTTTAACAAAATTAGTGTCATTAGAAAGAGTATGGATGAATTAATTTACATCTACTATAAAATAATTGCATTTAGTTTTAATTGTCAGAGGGTACTTTCGAATAGAAAAAATTAAAATTTGTTTTTCTTCAAAATTTTTAATGGAAACACCTATTTATTGTAAATTATAATGGAACTGGATTAAATTCGTAACAAAATGGCGCAAACCGCATGTTAATAGCTTTTATCGAACTCGAGATATGAATAAAAACGCATAAACATAAGTAAGTATAGTATTGACACACCCTGTATTATAAAATAAATTAAAAAATAAGTCAGTAGGTACTTTCAAAATTTTTTATAGCAGAAAACTCTTAATGTTGATACCTATTTTGACCATTGTTATTTCATATGATTAAAAATTGTTTTTTTGAAACTAAGTAGGCTACGACAATGAATTTGACAGGAGTTCATATTGTTTATTTATTGACAGCAGTCAAAATATTGTTAAGAAGTGTTATATGTATTATAATTCGAATTGAAAATTGCATTTTTTTCAATAGATATTAATATTGGTAATATTAGTAATTAATTATCAGTACTAATAATTCGTGATGAGTATATCAAATTCTATGATATGATTGGAGTTTATTTCGAATATCACCAAAATGGCGCTATTGCCTCACGTATATATTCTGTAAGATATCCTGGTAGGAGATATTGTGGCAAAGAAGTAGAGATTTCGGACTACTTATATGTGGATTCTGTTGAATTAAAGCAAGAACATTGATTGAATTATCTTCGGTCATAACTCTACTACGTCGTTTAAAACAAGGACGAGAAACACTACCAGTTTCTCTTAATCTTTTTGCCTTCCTTTCAAATACTTCTTTGCCATAATGTCTCCTGTCACAATATCTTACAGAATATATACATGAGGCAATAGCGGCATTTTGGTGACATTCGAAATAAACTCCAATCATATCATACAATTTGATATACTCATCACAAATTATTTGTACTGATAATTAATTACTAATATTATCAATATTAATATCTATTGAAAGAAATGCAATCTTTAATTCGAATTATAATATAGCACTTCTTAACAATGTTTTGACTGTTGTCAATAAGTAAACAATATGACATGACACTGTAAAATTCATTGTCGTAGCCTACTTAGTTTCGAAAAAACTATTTTTTACAAAATAGGTATCAACATTAAGATTCTTCTGCTATAAAAAAATTTTAAAATACCTACTGACTTATTTTTTAATCTAATTTATAATACAGGGTGTGTCAATACTATACTTACTTATGTTTATGAGTTTTTATTCATATCTCGAGTTCAACAAAAGCTATTAACATGCGGTTTGCTCCATTTTGTTACGAATTTATTCCAGTTCCATTATAATTTACAAGAAATAGGTGTTTCCATTGAAAATTTTGAAGAAAAACAAATTTTAATTTTTTTTATTTGAAAGTCCCCTCTACCTACGACTATGAAAACTAAATGCAAGTATTTTATAGTAGATGTGAATTCATTCTTCCACATTCTTTCTAATGACACTAATTTCATTAAAATCGGTTGGACCAAACCAAAGTTATAGGTATTTATCCACAAATACTTTCCCACTCTCCCCCACCCTTTATTTGAAAAAATAAACAAAAAGTACTTGAACAACTTTGTGCAGAATTTATGCCCCTTTCTAGTTTACTTATTTAACACTTGGTATAATTGGACATATTTTCCAAAAAACTGGTTTTCAAAATTTTCTTCGCAGGTTACGCCCCCTAACGGTTAACCCAGAATCTTGAAAGTTATTTCCAGCGATTTCTCTTGGCCACTTTTACTAAGGAATTTTTCTTCCTAAAGTTATAACATGAATAGTTTCTGATATATAGCCGAGAGATCGGCTTATTGGACCACCCGGTACATTCCTCTGCGAATCTTCCTATTTTTCCTTTACGTGATCTTTACCGTGGAGGTAAGATAATGTGTCCTCGATACGGCGTGTCCTAATGCACCGAACGTCCTATAAATATCCAGAATATTGGGGCAAAGGTAGAACTAAAAAAACAGCTGCGGATGGGCAATTCTCCTCAGGGGTGCATCGTACAATGGAAAAGCTTGGGAAGGCTGTTTACCAAGAAGAAAAAAATCCTAGACCATGGCCTATAAAACTCCAATACGATGTACCATTACAATTAAAATTGTTGTCCAAATCAGATTCTTCCAATACTTAATGCCTTTCAAAGTGCTGGTAACTTTCAAATTTGGGATAGTTCATTTACTCTACGTATTATTGAGCATATGAATTATTAATAAAACAGATATTTTCTCTAATCGTAGTTTTTATCATTTGTTTATCAATTGTTTTTATCAACTTTTTTCGGTATTTACGGTTAAAAAGTGATTTTATTTATTGAACCATTCTTCTTCTTCAAGTGTCGTCTTCGTTCCGAAGATTGGCTATCATCAAAGCTATGCGTATTTTTGATGCTGCAGATCTAAACAGTTGGTAATTGGTGCAATTGTACCATTCTCTCAAGTTTTTCAACCATGAATGCCTTCTTCTTCCTATAGATCTCTTTCCCATTATCTTTCCCTGTATAATCAATTGCAGCAACTGGTATTTATCTCCCCTCATAACATGTCCCAAATATTGTAGTTTGCGCTTTTTAACAGTAAGTATCAGCTCTTTCTCTTTCCGCACTCTCCGCAAAACCTCTACATTTGTTACTTTCTCTGTCCAGGGTATTCTTAATATTCTACGATACATCCACAACTCAAATGCTTCTATCTTTTTGGTATCGATCTTTTTCAATGTCCATGTTTCCATCCCGTAGAGGAGAACTGACATAACGTAACATCTCAAAAGGCGAATTTTAAGTTTTAGACTTAGATCTCTTCCGCAGAACACCTTTTTCAATTTAGTAAATGTGGCTCTAGCTTTCTCTATTCTGGTTCTGATTTCTTCAGAGCAATCATTATTTTCGTTGATAACAGTTCCCAGGTAATTATATCTTCTTACACGTTCGATTCTTTGATCATGCACGGTTATGTCAGGGAAGTTTTGTGGTGATTTAGATATTAGCATTATTTTTGTTTTGCTTATGTTAAGTGATAATCTGTGTTCTTCACTGCATTCTACTATTTTGTTAATTAGTATTTGAAGATCTTCTCAAGTTTCTGCGATTAGTACCGTGTCATCGGCATATCTCAAGTTGTTTATTCGGATGCCATTTATCTTAATACCTATATTTTGATCCGAAAGTGCTGTGTTTATAATGTCTTCGGAGTATAGATTGAATAAGGTCGGTGAGAGTATACAACCCTGTCTTACACCTTTCTTGATCTCGTTTTTCTCCGTTGTCTCTTGCTCTATTCGGTTATTTGCGTTCTGGTTATAGTAAAGTTTTTTTCTACTAGCAGTTTCATTAAGTGATCGTGACGAACTTTATCAATCGCTTTGTTGTAATCAATAAAGCACATATATATATATATATATATATATATATATATATATATATATATATATATATATATATATATATATATATATATATATATCTTGGTTTATATCTAGACATCTTTGGTATATGACGTTAAGTGCAAATAGTGCTTCTCTTGTTCCAAGCCCGTTCCGAAATCCGAATTGAGTATTACTAATATCTGCATCTAGTTTTCTGTTAATTCTTGAGTGGATTACTTTGATGAATACTTTTAATGTATGCCCCATTAAGCTTATAGTGCGGTAGTCAGTGCACTGTTTTGCATTTGCCTTTTTTGGTAAGGTTACAAAAGTTGAAAGTAGCCATTCCTTTGGTATTTCTCCTCTTTTGTAGATGCAGTTAAAAAGGTCGAGTAGAATATTCACTCATTCGCCTTCCACAAGCTTAAGAAGTTCTGATGTGAGCCCGTCTGGACCCGGTGATTTACCATTTTTCATTATTTTTATAGCGTATAATAGTTCTTCTTTAGTTATTTCTGGTCCTTCGTCGCCTTGCAAGTTATCTACATTAGGTTCTTGTCTTTCATCGTCGAACAATTCTTCTACATAGTTCTTCCAGGTCCTAAGCTTTTCTTGTAGATCGGCTATTATTTCACCATTTGCGTTGCATAGGAGATTGGGATGTTTTCGTTTTTGTGTACCTGTCAGTTCCTTTATCTTTTTATGTAAGTTAAAAGTGTCATGTTTGAGATGTAGTTCTTCGATTTCATCGCATTTTCTTGTATA